AAAAAAAAAAAAAAAAAAAAAAAAAAAAAAAAAAATCTTCAGTTAGGCAATGGGTTAACCATCACCTTAGTTTTTAAAAGGCTTAAATTAGAAGTTGCTACAGATACTTAAATGATGGAAGAAGGACATTGGTTAATTATAATAAACTGCCTTGGCCCATTTTATTGATTAGAACATAGGTGGTTGGAGTAAACAGAAGAGAATACTGGGAGAAAGAAGCTGAGTCAGGAGTCGCCATGGTTCTCCCACTCCAGACAGATGCAGGTTAAGATCCTCTGGCTTTAATGTATTTCAAGGCTTTTATGGGACTGGATGTTTGTGTTCCGGCTTGGGATCGGAAGGAGAGTGCTCTGAGACCTGCTGATGGCTCAGTGCTCCCCACCTGCACTTGGGCAGAAGGCAGAATCAGGCTTAGGCAGGCGAAAGAGCATGGCGGGATTCCTGCCGACATACAGAGACGTGTTTTCAGATTGCGCAGTGCTCTGTGTGTCAGATTTGGCTGTAACTTGGATAAAAGAGTTTCTGTGCTACACACTCAGTCTCAGAGTTAAAGTGCTGAGTGCTGCTCCTACTTGGCGGCCCCAGAGCTAGCACAAAATGGTACAGCCTCCATTTTGAAATTTTCCTGACTCAGCAGCAGGAAAAAACTGGCTGTTTTAAAATGCCGGCTTTCTGGGCTGTGCTGCCATTGCAACCTCTGTCTGGCTGCTGCGGGAGACAGAGTCTTTGATGGCAACTAGACTCTCTGTGTGCCTAAAAGGAAGTCATTGCGTGCTGCGGCTCAGAGGCACAAGCAGCTCCGCCATGTTGGACCAGGTGGGGCAAGCAGGCAGTACCTGTTTTTGACCTAGGAATGTCACAGCTTAGATTCTTAAGTGCTTAGTGATTTAAAGGCGCAAAACAAAGTGCTCCTGGATAGTAAAAGAATTACAGATTCACAATGGAACAGATTCAGACATAAAAGACCACTAAATGAGTCACAGTGTTGGATGAATGTATGTAGGCTTGAAAGAGACAAGAAAAAGAATATAGAAAATAAAGTTGATGTTAAAAAAAGGTAAAGTCTTTAAAGAGACAGAATAAAGTAAAGTGATAAAGAAAAATAAGCCACGTAAAAATGGAAAATTCACAGAGAGTCTGGATTCTTTGTATTATTGTGTTTTCTTTAAAATTTTTGACTGTGAAGGAGCTAAGTACAGAGAGACATTTCGTTACATGGGCTGCCAAGCTAATCCAGAATGGATATAAGGGTATTACGATTTCAAAATTTGGGTCTAAGGATATGGTGCTTTGGAGAGGGTCTTCTTTTGTTTCCACAGAGGATGTGACCCTATGGATTGCATCTATCCCGGTATGGTATGATAGACCACGACCTCCTGAAAAGTTGCTGTGAACACCCTCAAAAAATTGCTTCGCTCAATTGCCAACTGAGATGAAAATAGCACACAGGTTATACCATGAACGACCTAATTAACAACGCCCCTATTCAGCAGGAAGCAGTTTGGAGAGAAATAACTGCGCCCATATTCCCAAATATTGTTTATAACTGTTCTTTTACATTTAAAGGGGGATATGATATAGATACGAATAATTTGCATTGGTATGGATTTTATGGTCAATTTTGTTATATGTATATGTATTTCTGATCTTGACTAAGGTATTGTGATTGTGTAGTTCATTTAAAAATGTACTGTATAATTAGGAAATATAGGTTGTTAATGGATAATCATTGATAATAGTCAAGCTTGTAGTAATGTTAGTTAG